GTCAGAGCTCATGGTATGAGAGCAAAACCAGATGCAGGAGACCAGGGTTTGAATCCCCTTCCTGCTGTTGCGCTAGATGGTTTTGGGGATTTTTTTTGGGAAAAAAAAAAAACTTGTTTTTTTCTCCCCCTCCTCCTTTTTCTTGCCCCGCCTTTCTTCCATTCTTCCATTCTTCACCTGCCTCTCTTTCATCTTCACCGTCTCTCAGTCCACTCTTCATTTTTCTGGTCCGTGTTTCTCAGAGTCTTCCGAGCCTTGCCCTCATACCCTTTGACTGCTGTGCAGTCCATCTGTTTTATCGCCCCAGGAATTTTTGCTATTTAGTCCATGTTACACAGAGCGCTCTTTTTGAGCCTCAGGTATCTACCCTTGCTGCTACCACCCTTTGTTTGGTGTATCGCCCCAGATTTTCTGCCATTCCCACAGCTTTCTTTCTTTGGTGTGATCCCCACACACCGAGGTGGGACTTGAACCCATGCCTCTACCGTAACCTTGTCTGCAACCAACGTGTGTTTAGCCATTAGTGCCATCATGGCTTTCACACTGAGAGTTGTCGTTTGGGGCACTTTGTTGGATTTAATGACAGCAATTTAACATAAGCAATAGTGGGATTTGAACCCAGGTCTCCAAGATGAAAACACAATGTTTTGTCCATTGAGCCACTGAAACTTCGGAGTTATTGTGCGTTTTGAACGGGTTTAATGGATACCTTAGAGTTGGTTTAAAAAAAAGCATGGTGTTGACGGATTTGAACACGGGTCTTTGGTGCAGTTTGGTCTGTAAGTAACGAGTGTTAACCACTGCACCATTCTGGTTTTCACACTTCAATTTGGAGTTTGGAGCGTCTTGTTTTATATACAACTGAATGGACGTTAAAATGGGATTTGAACTCAGGTCTCCAAGGTATAAGTGCAATGCTGTATCAACTGAGACATTGAGTCTGTGGGTTTTTTTGGGGGGTTTTGGATGGGCTTTTATGGATACCTTTGAGTTATATTAAGTAAAAAGTGGGATTTGAACACTGGTCTTTGTTGCAGCTTTATTTGCAGCTAACCTGTGTTAACCACTGCACCATTGTGTCTCTTGCATTTAGAGATGATGTTTGAAACACCTTGTTGGATGTACAACTGAATGGATGTTAAAGTGGGATTTGAACTCACGACCTCAAGATTAAAACAAATTGCTGTATCTCTTGAGCCACTGAGTTGTGTTAGTCTGAGTTTCATTGATTCGAACTCAAGATTCCTGAATTAAAGTGTAATACTTTGTCACTTGAGCCACTGAATCTGACAAGCTGTTTTGGATGGGTTTTTCTTGAGAGCTTTGTGTTATATAATGGAAAACTTTCTGAAATGGATTTATTGAAACCAACAACTCAGCATGTGATTATATGATGTTTGAGTTGGTTCAGACTGATTTTCATTTTAGCTACAGAATTACTTTAAATAAAGTTGCGAACTCAGGCCTCCAGGATTAAAGTGCATTGTTTTAGCATTTGAGAACCAAGAACTCCACATTTGATAGGCAAACAATTAACCACTGAACCACAGAATTTGTGATGTTTGAGTTGATGCAGATGGACTGATTTTCAGTTGAGCTACAGAATTATTTAAAAACAATGATAATAACACAAGCAACAGTGGGAATCAAACTCAGGACTCCACTATTACATCGCAACACTTTATCAAATGAGCCACTGAATCTGATAAGGTGTTAGGCGTTTTAGATGTGATTTTCTTTAAAGCCTTGTGTTATATGATGGAAAACTTCTTGAAATTGTTGAATTGAAACCAAGAACTCACCATTTGATAGGCAAATGATTAGCCACTGAACCACAGCTTTTGTGATGTTTGAGTGGGCTCAGACTGATTTTCATTTTAGATACAGAGTTACTTAAAAAACAACTTAACATAAGCAACAGCAGGTTTCGAACTCAGGACTCCAGGATTAAACCATGCAGCTTTACTATTTGAGCCACTGAGTCTAACAAACAAAACGAGATGTTTTGGTGGAGTTTTTCTTGAGAGCTTTGTGTTAGATAGAATAGTTCATACATATGGCCGGCAAATAATTAACCACTGAACCACAGATCATGTGACACTTCTGTTGGTACAGAAAACCAAACTCAGGACTAAAGTGCAATGCTTTATCACTTGAGCCACTCAATCTGACAAGATGACAGGTGTTTTGGATGGGTTTTTCTTGAGAGCTTTGTGTTACATGATGGAAAACTCTTAGCAATTGTGGGATTTGAACTAGGAACACCACAAGTGACAGACAAACAACTAGCCACTAAGCCACAAAGTTTGGGCTAATAGAGTGGGTTCAGATGGTTGGTTTCCAGGTTTGCTACAGCATTACTTAAAACAATTTAACATAAGCAATAGTGAGAATCAAACTCAGAACTCCATGATTAAAACACAACTTAAAAAAAAAGTGTTTGTGCATATGTATTTATTTAGTTTTGGTTTACATGCAACAATAGGATTTGAACAAAAGACTAGCATAAAATGTAATAGTTTACTTCTTGAGCAACTGAAATGAAATTGTTCATTTATATGATGAACTTTATTGTTTCATCTGTGTAGACAAAATTTGAAGACAACTTTAAATAAAAAAAGGCTCCTCAGAATAAAACCTGCATTATTTAAGTTACATGCACAAAATGTTTTGGTCCATATAAGCTGTTGTGCAAATGTGCACAGTCACACAAATGGTAAGAACTTTATTAAACTTTATCAAAATGATAATATATACATAACCTGTAAATAACATAATTTGTTAATTCAAATTAAGTTTATAATGAATATATATGAATTGTGTATCAAAACAGTCCTGACTTTGATTAGCTGCTTCAGTTGTTTTCAATCAGGGTTAGAGCTAAACCCAGGTAAATGGCTCACCAGGTGGAAAAAAATTACATACTTTCTAAAGTTCATATAAAAATGCAGATACACTTATTGTGCACAAGGGGGAGCACATGAACACACTGATCTCTGATCTGGATTCATGCATGTTCCTGTTGTCCATTCATTCTCCAAACTGCTTGTCTTTGCTTGTTTTTTAATAAATGTCGCCCTCATGTGGAAAATCCATCAGGAGGCCTTTAGTTGTATTAGTTGTTGTTCTGAAATGTTTAAAAACTGCAACTGAGCGCCCTCCTGTGGTGAATTGACAAGTAGAATTACGCTGAGTAAAATCTTTAAAAAACTCCAACCTAACGCCCTCTTGTGGTGAATTGACAAGTTGAATTACGCTGAATAAAATCTTTAAAAAACTTCAGCATAACGCCCTCTTGTGGTGAATTGACAAGTTGAATTATGCTGACTAAAATATATATATATAAAAAAAACTTCAACTGAACGCACTCTTGTGGTGGATTGACAATATAAACATTTTAATTCCAGCTGAAGTTGAATTATGTTGAATAAAATCTTTAAAAAACTTCAGCATAACGCCCTCTTGTGGTGAATTGACAAGTAGAATTACACTGAATAAAATCTTTTAAAAACTTCAACTGAATGCCCTCGTGGTGAATTGACAATATTAGAATTTTTAATGATCCACAACTGCACATTTAAAGAATTTATGCCAAACAAATCAATCACGGCTGCTTCAAAGGAACATTGATCTCTACAATGGAAACATTAAATCAGAATCTATATTATAGAACCACATCATTTACACTAACATGAATGACAAAGAAATATATTCTTTATTAACTACAAATGACAGCATTTAACTCACAGCTTGAACTCATGTTTTATGATCCTGTAGACAAAATCAAATAACTGTTTAAAACAACATTATGAAACACTAATTTGTACTCCAACATACATGACCCTTAACATTTCAGACACAATACACAATGATGGTGACACTCAAAATTACACAAAGTAAGAAATGCTCTCTAACATCATTGCATGACACACAACTGAAAGAAACAACAAACACAACAGTTCTAATGTGAATAATGAGTAAAATTATGTAGCAATTTCCAGTAAAAAAAAAACAGTGAAGCACTTTCAGTTTTATTTTTTGGCTCTTTTAGGTGCTCTGTGTGTCTGCCTTTATTCACAGTCCTGGAAAATAAAACCACAACAGCGATTTTGTCATGGCTAGATGGTAACCTTCATCCTGTGTAACTGCTGATATATGTAAGACACATGATGGCGCTGTTAGTTTCATAGTGTTTCCTACACCGTAAATACGCCACCTATGAGGTTTTCAATTGTGGTATTGCCATACAATTAGTGAAGAGGGAATGTATTTCTGCATTCATCTTTTATGAGAGCCAGTGATGTTAATCATATTAGCATGTACTTAATAGACACCTAATTAAGGATACATATGGTCAAAGTTAGACGACATTTTAACATTAAAATTAATTATATTGTATTTTAAAAGGTCTAGTGCCTGGAAGCTTCATTAAGGTCACCAAACATCATTAGTATAACCTAATCAATATTCATGAGCATATCCATTCCATATTTTACTGGTTTCTTATATCTTTTTATGTCAAATATATTAAGTGCAAAATTCTGCATTGTAAAAAGGCAGATATTATTAACAGACATTAACATTCAAATCAGCCAAATGGATTAGGTTCCAAAAATTAATTCAAAAACGGAATATGAGCAACAGTTACTTGCACATTAAGCACACAAACTGAACATTATGAAATGATCCTCATTCATATAATGTGTTTATATCAGTCTTGCACAGTTTATTATGTCTTATTATGTCTAGGTTTTAAGAAAGCAAACTGTGTGTTTGCACCATGTGTGTTTGTGAGCCGCTACACTTGAGGGAACTCAAATCCTTTTGCCATGTCAAAGTGACCCGCATTCTCAGGGTGTCAAGAGAAAGTGGGTCAACACTAAATATATCCTCCAGACCTGTGAAAAAAACAAAGTCAGTCTGTGTTTTGCAACGCTGTGAGGTGCATGTCATTTCTTCCTATAGTTTATCAAAATCTCTCAGGACGGATTCACAGTGAAAACTGGAAATTCGTGTCAGTTTCATAATCAAGTTTTCATTGCGATTGGAGTTTTGTTCATGTGTGCGTCTTTTTGAGCTTTGAAACACAATGGACTACATGGAACAAATGGATGAAGATCAGCTCATTGACTTTGTTATTCAAATGAGCCTCCAAGATGCTCACAGTCTCTCTGTTTTGAACGAACCGCTAAGGTATGCGCAGTATTATACTTATTTCAACATACTTATATCAAAAAAGGATATGTGTTAGTCTCACACATTCTCTCTCGCAGCACTTTAGAAACAGCCAGCGATGAAAACCTCAAGATTTTATCTGCTATAGATCAAGGTAATTCATACGCGTGCCTAAATATCAATGCTCTGTTTTGGTTTCCCAATGGCTTGATATTTTGCATACGTGTGTGTAATATTATCCAGGTGATGTGTTTGCACTGAGGCAACTGCAAAAATACAGTGATGCCTATAAGGAAGAAGACAGCAAAGGTTGGCTTCCGATGCACAGAGCGTCAGTCCAGCCGGATGCCCATGTGTTGGACAACGTCCTCCTGGGTGAGCAGACACAACATGCCTAAGTTAAAGTGCAAACAAATGAGTGACAACTAATTAGATATGCTAATAAGGCATTTGCTGTGCAACTTTTTTCTGGAATAGCATCCTATGAGCGGAGCATGGAGGAGATGACGGCCGACGGAGACACCGCTTTGACTCTGGCTTGTCAAGCAGGACATGTGGAGAACGTGAAGGTTCTTCTCCAACGCGGAGCATCTCCACACAACATGAACCGCAGGAATGAGACTCCACTTCTCCTGGGTATTACAACAAAACAACACCAAATAGTCATCAAATGAGTCTTGCCTTTTGTTGGAGCTCTCAGTCAGAAGTTACTTACAATTTCATTACTTCCATCATGGTTTTGTACAAGTATATGAAAATGTGGCATAGCTTAACACTGTTTCAGGTTTAGCATTAGTTCTTACACTAGGTTTCAGGATCATATTCCTACGTTTCCTTTTGCAGCTGTGAGGGCAAACTCGTATGATATGGTTCATGCACTGATAATGGGAGGCGCCTCCGTGCAGCAGGTTTGTTTGAAGAAATGGACGGTCACCCATGAGGCTGCTAAAGTGGGTTGCATGGACATCCTGATGCTGCTGCTGAGACACAGGGGGAAGGCCATGGGACGGGATGGTCATGGGGTCACACCGTTGGGCATCGCCGCAGAGTACGGCCATCCGGAAATACTGGAAATCCTTATCGAACATGGTAAGTCAGGTGTATGCAAGTCTAAATAACTCTAGATCCGTCCCTAATGTAAATGATAAATTACACTGATTACAATTGACTAGAACACAGAGGAACAATAGAGTTGGAATCATTTTCATAATTTCCCCCCCCAGTTATTGAACAATGAAATCATTGACAACCAATCAGAAAAAAAAGTTTGACTTTTTCTGGTCAAAATATATTACAAATAAATGCTAATATGGGTTCGGGCCAAAATTCTGAGCTCGGAGCCCTCCCCTCGGACAGCACACCAAATACGCATAAGCTTTAAGTGTGAACTCGTGAAAGAAGGTAAGTCACAGAAGGTCATTACTGAAAGGGTTGGCTGTTCACAGAGTGCTGTACACAAGCAACAGGGATGACCACAAGCTTGAGAATACTGTCAAGCAAAGCCGATTCAAACACTTGGGAGAGCTTCACAAGGAGTGGACTGAAGCTGGAGTCAGTGCATAAAGAGTCACCACGCTCAGACGTCTTCAGGAAAAGGGCTACCAAGCCACTTCTGAAACAGAAACAACGTCAGAAGCATCTTACCTGGGCTAAGGAGAAAAAGAACTGGACTGTTGCTCAGTGGTCCAAAGTCCTCTTTTCAGATAAAAGTAAATTTTGCATTTCATTTGGAAATCAAGGTCAGGAGTCTGGAGGAAGACTGGAGAGGAACAGAATCCAAGCTGCTTGAAGTCCAGTGTGAAGTTTCTGAATGTTTCTGTCAGTGATGATTTGGGGTGCCGTGACGTCTGCTGGTGTTGGTCCATTGTGTTTTATCAAGTCCAAAGTCAATGCTACCAGGAGATTTTGGAGCTCTTTATGCTTCCACCTGCTGACAAGCTTTATGGAGATGCTGATTTCCTTTTCAAGCAGGACTTAGCACCTGCCCACAGTGCCAAAACCACTTCCAAGTGCTTTGCTGACCATGATATTACTGTATTTGATTAGCCAGCCAACATGCCTGACCTGAAGCCCATATGGAATCTATGGGATATTTTCAAGAGAAAGATGAGAAACAGTGAATCCGAGCTGAAGGCTCAATGGTGCCTCAGCAGTGCCCCAGGCTGATCGCTTCCATGCCACACCTCACTGATGCTGGAGTTTGTGCTGAAGGAGCCCCGACCAAGTATTGAGTGCAGAAATGAACATACTTTAAAGAACTTGAGCTTTTCTGTTTTGCAAATTCTTTTTTATTATTATTTTTTGATCTTAGGAAATATTCTAATATTTTGAGATACTGTATTTTTGACTTTCATGAGCTGTAAGCTCTAATCATCAAAATAAAAAAAAACTTTTGAAATGTTTTACTTTACATGTAATGAATCTAGAATATATTTTTTATTTTTTTAGATGCACCTGTATATTTCAATTAGTATTTCAGGGGCAAGAGAATACATCTCCAATCTAACAGTAGCCAATATTTTATACTTATTGTTTTATTAAAATGTTACGTGTTCACACTTGTTATAGGCAACAAATAAAGTTTTTGTTCCAGTGTGAAATTTGGGAATGTATTTTTTGGACAGAAATATAAAGGGCAAAATATCTTTTAAATGCTTTTAAAATATATATTTAAAAACTATATTTTCAAAACTATACAAAAATGTTAAATTACAAAAAATATATGTATACATTTAATAAAAAATGTTTGTTTTTTTTTGCTGTATGGGGAGCTTGAGCATTTAAAGTGGCAGACAGCATAACTGCAGTACATGCTTAAAATAAAAAATGTTATTGTCTGTTGGTGTGGACACTAATATAGTTATGTTTATAGTTATAGTAGACCAATTTAGGCAAACGTACATTGGTTGTACACTTACAGGTTCATTCCCCCAAAATGAATGTATTTCTTGCTCTTACCTCTAGGGGGCGACGTCACAGCACAAGCTACAAATGGAGACAGTGTGTTATATGACGCTGCAGGCTGTGGGAACCTGGACTGCATTGATCTACTCTTACAACATGGTGCCAGTCCTAATGTAGCCAGTCTTTGCTGTCAACTGCCGATTCACCGCGCAGCCTACGAGGGGCACTACCTGTGAGAGCACAGCAAATCAATCTCGCCACACTTTACCAGACATCTCTGCACTAATAAATATATTCTCTCTTTAACCTGACAGGGCTCTGAAGAGATTCATTCTCATCACCACTAAGAAGGCCATCCGTCTGTCTGGGATGAGTCCGGTTCATTCTGCGGCGGACGGAGGCCAGGCTGACTGTCTCGAGCTGCTCATCGAGAAAGGCTTTGACGTCAATCCAATCCTGGGCTGCCATATTTCCGAAAACTACGGTGACATGAGGAAGACCCCGCTGTACTTCGCCATCTGCAATGGAGACGTCACGTGCGCCGAGATGCTTCTGAAAGCAGGTGCGAAGCCCGACCTGGACCCGCTGCGCTGCCTCCTGGTGGCGGTCAGAGCTGGGAAGTACGAGCTGGTGCGGCTGCTTCTCGCCTATGGGGCAGACGTCAACTGCGTCTTCTCCGTCGTCAGCAACACCGTATTTCCTACGGCACTGCAGTACTGCATCAAAGATGAAATGATGCTGCGCCTGCTCCTTAACAACGGTTACCATGCAGAAAGCTGCTTTGAGTGTTACCACGACAACTGTGTAACAACATATACGTGGACAGAGGCTCCTAGCCAGTCATACCAAATCAAGAATGCAACGAATAAAGTAACCGTAAGAATCATGTTTGGGGTCTAGAAAACAATGTGGTGAACTCACTAACAGTTGCAGCACTTTTGCATGCGCAAAAACGTGCGTCTTATTAACTAACCACCTGAAAATGCAACAAACAATGCAATCAGAGGCTTTATAGTAAAGTCAAAACAAGAGCAATCTGAACAAAGTGGCTCTAAAGTATCATGTTTGGGGTCTAGAAAACAATGGGGTGGAGTTGTGCCACTTTTGCATGTGCAAAAACATGCATCTTATTAACTAACCCCTGAAAACCAGCTTAACCAGGTGCTACCTGTGCTAGTATAGTGCTGCATTTTGAACATTTAAAACATACCTCATATCTGCATGAGTTAGGTTTATTATAAAATGCATTATTTCAATAAATGTTGCGCTGTTACTATTTTTTTAAGAGATGTGTGAGTGCATTTTATTGTGATTACTATAACAATGCAAGAAGTGATCACAATTCATTCTTTGTGAATATCTATTTATATGTGGCCTAATTATGTACTCTATTCTGCTTTAAAGTTTGGTGAGTTTATTAGCGTGGCATGGATGGCACACTTGGCAGGGAGGGTGGTGCTGACACTCCTAGATTACGTGAATCATGTGCACATATGTTCTAAACTGCAACTTATTCTGGAGAGGCAGGAGGAGTGGCCCGATATCTGTGACATCCTTAGTAAGACACCTGTTAGCCATTCATGTCTTTCCAAACCTGTATGAGACACAAAGAATAACAATTTCTTTATGACTGTTTGGTATTAGGGAAGCCACGCCCTCTGAAACACCAGGCCAGGTTGGTTATCAGGAGACGTATGACACTGACAAAACTGAATGACCCAGAGTTCATGAGCACCGTTCCTTTCCCCCCGGCACTGAAGAACTTCCTGCTCTACAAAGAATATGATGTTTATGGTCGAATGGATGAACAGTAGATATATGTATCTACACTCCAAAAAAAGATGGTTCTTTAAAGGTTCTTTACATGCAGCAATGGTTTTATTTAGAACCATAGCATTCTGAAGAACCCTTTCATGCTGAAATGGTTCTTTGTGTTAAGAGGTTAGGGTTCTTTATTCCCGCCCTTTTTGTTTTTTAAATCTGTAACTTACAAAGCTCATCATTACTGATTTTCTGGAGTTCAGTGATTCAGCTACACAGACTGTCAACACACTCTTAACAGGTAAATGATTTCATTCTTAAAATGTAAATACAAATTTAACTTTAAAAATGTAACTGGTTTCCAAACAAACATGTTCTTATCTTTTTTTTGTTTCGTTTTTGGTCACATATAAGTGTGTGCAGCTCTGCTAAGCTGTGGAAACTTCTCTCTTCTTCTCCACTAAGTAAGTAAAAGAGACAATCAATTTATAATTCATATTGTTTGATTTTGTTCATTATTACTTGGGTTTATGTATAAACGTACCCAGTCACAAAAAATATTAAAACTATCCCATCATGACTTTATATCACTTTTTTCTTTTAAGATTGCTCACATACTGTCCATTTTTGCTTTGGGCCTTCATAAACATAATTGTTTTTACACAAACACATGGACACGCTGTAACTCTAAACTCAACTGTGTATTTCAGATGTATCACATCCCACAACCTCATCATCTGCAGAGAAAAAGCGCTACTTAATCACACCAAAATGATGGACTTTAAGGCATCATATTGATTGGATTGTGATTGTTTCACTGAAACTTGGACTTCATCACATCTATTTTTTGTTCTTATTTTGTGTTTTACTTCTTTATGTATTTATTCATGTTCAATGTCAATTGTCATTCATTAATGTATTCAGCTAATAACTGTTGTTAAGAGCACTGACCATTTTGCATGTCAATAAAAACATACCTATTTCACACAACATGCTGCTGTTGTTGTTGTTTTACTATAAAACCTTAACCGAGGCTACACTCTAAGATGCCTCATTACTGATTTTCTGGAGCTCAGCCATCCAACTACACAGACTGTCGGCACACTCTCAACAGGTAAATCATTTCTTTCTTAAAATGTCTATAAATTATAACTTTCAAATGCTAATTGGTCTCCTATGTCGTTTCTCTTTTTAGTTTAAGAGAACATGTAAGTGTGACCAGCGCTATTCAGGTAAGGATACTCTCCTCTTCTTCACTAAGTAACAAAGGTATTGCATTTATGGTCCCATTTTGTTAGATATTTTATATTATCCCATGACTTAATATAACTTTTTCCTTTTAACATTGTGAAGATGTCCACATTTTTCTTATTTTGTTGAAATTGAAATTTTTTTTCCCCCATTTAGTACTGCCCTTCGGAAGCAACAGAAGATACTTGCATGTTTCTCGGAAGACAAATTAAGTACAATTTACCTTGATCTTCAAATTCAAAAAGTTATTCCCCCCCTGCTCTTAATGCATCGTGTTTCCTTCTGGAGCATCAGTGAATGTTAATAGTTGTGTTTGACTCCCTCAATTGTCCTCAGTGTGAAAAGATGGATCTCAAAATCATACAGTCACTGCTGGAAAGGGTTAAAATATACAAAAGATGCTGAAAAACTGAAGAATCTGCAGGACCCGGAGGATTTTTCTGAAGAACTGTGCTCAGATTAACGGTTCAGAACAAACAAGGGACTCATGAACAACCATCACAAAACAAAACAAAACAAACAAAAAAAAAACATTTGTGGTCATCCAAGTAACAACACACACAGTATTAAGAACCAAGGGTTCCCAAACTTTTGAAGGGGGTTATTTTAATAATTTCAGCTATATATTTTTTTGTCTTGTGGACTAAATGTAAACATGTTTTATGTAAACTATCTTACTCGAGACGGTACTAAATAAAAACATAACATGCATTTTGTATGACCTCTTCTTATTTTGTTAAAATTATTCACATTTTCACAGATTCTGCAAGGGGTTCCCAAACTTTCGCATGCCACTGTATATGTATTTTATTCCAATTTATTTATATGAAGTGAAACTTCATATTTATATGAGTGAAACTATTTGTAACAGTGCAATTTTGTGATAATGTAAAAATGTTTTATAAACATTATGTTAAAGATGTGTTATATAAAGATGTGTTTATAAACAATATTATTATGATTATATAATTTTCATATGTTAATGTTCACAAAACACATCATCAGCAAGTCCAGGTCACATTTCGCCTTAAAACAATAAGAAAAAAACAATAATTAAACGAAAAAAAAAAAGGCTAATGCATATGCACCTTTTTGATTTTAGATTGAAACTTGACCTGGACATGATCCTGACAGGTTTCCTCAAACTTACTCTAAATAGTCTGCAGTGTGTAAATTTATATGCTACCTAAATACATGATTTACTCTGGAAACAGTTTGACTGACAGATTTTTATCGCATGCTAAAGGACTGCATTACTTTTCAAACCATAAGAATCTGACATAAATTTCAAACTTCACCAACATTGATCCTGGCTCTAATCCAAAAACAATGAGGATCTGTGGAAGCTGTTGTTGCTAGAGACACTTGTTATCAGAGCAACAACATTCCTGCACCGTCAACGCCAGTCGGCGGCTCCAGAGACGAAGCGGACACTGTGTTCCTGTCATAAACACAGATCCTAGCCTCACGCGGATATTTAGATCCAATGAGACAACCAACAGTTTATCTGAGTGTTCACAATAAGTCCAGATCTGATCATTACACACACACAGGACTGACCTGACAGCTAATGGACTTCAAAATCCATTCATATCTACACCATATTAACTTTTAGCCTCTCTAGATTCACTAGATTTTAGGCAAGCTGAGGATTTAACGGTATGACGTATGCTTTGATAAATGCAATAATAAAGCAAATTTTAATCCTGATGATGACATCAAAAGCGAGACAAAACCAGTAAAAGGCTACGAGAGAAGAGGATTTTTAAAATCCTCACAATGCTTCATGCCAGGCTGATAACAGTTCTTGGGATAATCTGCCCCTCACTATTAGCCTGTGACGTGTTACTTTAGCACTATGTGGTATTTTTGGCACATATGAAAAAACTAAAAGCACCTAAGAGTATTCTGGGTTGTCCGATTCTTAACATACAAAATGAATTGAGGATACTTATGGATAAGTATCATATTTATGACAGCAACACTAAATTGTACCTTTTGGCACAATTTAGCAAAATTGAGCTGTTATGTGCAGTGATTAAGACAGCAGCTTGTGATTTCATTTAACGCACCAGTATGACACCAGTAAACATACACAGACATTTAGAATAGGGTTTTCCTCATTTAAATGCTTTAAAATGTAAGTATTTACCACCTTGCTGGCAACAACAACTTGCTATTATAAGGACATTACCATTTCTCTCTAAGCCATCTCCTGAGAGTCTGCTTATTTTGGACATGAACAATGCAGTCAGCATTCACTGACAGGCCTCGCTGTGGCCATGTTGTGAGCTCACATGCTTTTTGCAGCTCTGTCTGATTGACTCCTGCCTCCCAAAAAAGCAATGGCATCATGGGCTGGGGCTTTGTCCCACGTCTCTAATCCTGCTCTTAAAACCCCTCCAGTTGCCCACCGCAGAAGATGAGCACTCACTCTTGCTTACACCACTCGAAAGATCCCAGACGCCTATCTGATGCACCAATACTGAGACAAAACCAAGACTTTAAGACTCTGAGAAGACTAACGAGAGACCATGAGTACATTCGGCTACCGGCGGGAACTGAGTAAGTACGAGGATTTGGATGAAGATGAGCTGCTGGCCTCGCTGACTGCCAAGGAGCTCCAGGAGCTGGAGAAGGAGTTGACTGATATTGACCCAGATGACAATCTTCCTATCGGACTGCGACAGAGAGATCAGACAGCTAAGACTCCCTCAGCAGGGAAGCTCTTATGAAATACTGGGAAAATGAGACTCGAAAACTGTTGGAGGAGGAGAGGATCGGATCCACAAGTCCTAGACAGGTCAGTGATCAACAACCTCAAACATTACCTACACTGTCAGTAAAAAATAGCTTATCAATAGGGTAGTAGCCTATAAAGAGACACATTTGTATCTTATTTAACTCTAAAGGGTGCATATTAGTATCTTAGAAAAGAAATATGTACCCTTAGTAATATATACTCTTATGGTGGTATTATGAACACTTTAGGGATAAGTAACTATAGGGACAAATTGTTGAGGGTGCTGCCCCAGTGATAAGCTGTGAGTGTATGATTTAAACTCAAGAATTGCAATATTTTAAGATTTTAATTTGAATTGTAGAATAGTTACCATTTGGTAAACTTTGGCAAAAAAGACAAATGGTTTACATACCTTCATAATCTGGGTAAAGGAATGATTCAAAGGTGGAGAGACACCATAGGTCTTTCAAAGAGCAATGAGAAGTTAAAACCAGATCTCTTAATGAAAGAGGACCAAATTGCACCAAAGTTGTTTTAACAGTGACTTTATCAATTCCAGAAAGATGAAGACAGCAGGGAAGAGGAGGAATGCATGACTGAGAGTGACAATGAAGAATCTGGGGATGAAAAAGACGAGGCTGAAGAACGTGAGAAAGACACACAAATATATTGTGAAGTTGAAGAAGACCAAGAAGAGGAAAGTGAAGCAGAGGAGCCGGTAACAGAAGAGGAGGATGTGGAACAAGAAGATGAGGAGGAAGAAGAAAACAAAGAAGAGAACAGTCCTAAAATGGCACCGACGCTGGATTGCACCACTCACCCTCAGCAGTGTTGGTCTTCCAATGGTCAGTCCAATCAGAGACAGGCAGAGCCTGTAAGACGATACACTCCACTGATGAGTGAACCAAAAGTCCAAGCTCAGGAGCCCAGTCGCATGTCAGGAAACCCTACTGTGGTGGACGATGTTCTGGAAAAGATCCTCAACAATGACCCAGATACCACCGAGGTCAACCTCAACAACATTGAAAACATCTCCCAAGACACTCTTATCCGATTTGCCGAAGCCTTACGCTTAAACACACACGTACGTTTCTTTAGCCTTGCAAACACACATGCAGATGACCAGGTGGCTTTTGCCATTGCCAAGATGCTGAGAGAAAACAGCAACATCACAAATCTTAACATTGAGTCCAACTTTATTACAGGGAAGGGTATCCTGGCACTGGTGCAAGCCCTCACACGAAACAGTACGCTTACGGAAATGCGATTTCACAATCAGAGGCACATTTGTGGAGGTCAGGTGGAAATGGAGATTGTAAAGTTACTGAGGGAGAATATAACGCTGATAAAGTTGGGTTACCAGTTCGACCTTGCAGGCCCTCGTATAAGCATGACGACCATTCTTACCCGCAACCAAGACCTCCAGAGACAGAGGAGAATGCAGGAGCTGCGCCAACAGCAAGGAGGTGCAGCAATGCCAACAAACCCAAGAACAGTCACCCTTCAGAAGAGCACGACCGCCTCTTCTCCTTACGGCTCCCCTCAGAGTTCACCATGGTCATCTCCAAAGTTACCACACATTGACATGGCAAAGAAGAACGCTCCCCCTGCTCCTCCACCTCCCCCACCACCACCTCCTCCTCCTCCTCCTCTGCCACCCAAGGTCTTCGTCCCAGAGAAGGCGGCTCCCACCAGAATGATCGCAGAAGTCATCAAACTGCAAGAGGGGACTTCCAAGAAACAACAGCATAGTTCCACCAAATCTAAACCCAAAAAGGGCAAAAAGGGGGCTGCAAAGCAAACAGAGACTGACAGCATATTAAAGGAACTGAAGAACGCTTTGAGACCCATCAATGACCGAGAGAACTCCAGACCGTCCACACCTCAACGCTGTGCTCATGATGAACTCATGGCCGCCATCAGAGGCAGTAGCATCAAAAAACTCAAAAGGGTGAGTATCGTAAAGACCAGGGATCTCCAACCCTGCTTGTGGAGAGCTACCGTCTTGCAGACTTCAGTTCCAGTCCTGCTCCAACACTCCTGCCTGTAATTATCAAGTAACCCTGAACACCTTGATTAGCTAGTTCAGCTGTGTTTGATTGGGGTTGGAGCTGAAATCTGCAAGACGGTAGCTCTCCAGGAGCACGGTTGGAGACCTTTGGTAAAGACCAACAAGCTCAATTCCAAAACCTAGCGAGCTTTCTTGCTGTCCACCGCCTTCTTAGTCAGCTTCCCACCTGAAACGAACCTCAAATGACAGATTTGTGAGACTCCACAAAGGCAGCAACCTTTTGTGTCATACAAATAGCACCTACGCCAGGGGTGTCCAATCCTGCTCTCAGAGGGGCCAACATCCTTAAGAGTTTAGCTCCAACCAGCTTCAACACACTTGCTTAGAAATTTCTAGTGAGTCCGATTAGCTCATTAGGCCCTCCAGGAACAGGTTTGGACTCCCCTGTCCTACGCAATCCACGCAAGAGAATCATGATTGATTTCAAGGGTTTAGCATGTTGCTAAGCTCATGTATATTAGAGAAAATAATACATTTTTCAATAAAACTGAATATTTTTAACGATACTTTTCAGTATTGAGAGAACTTGGATGGAGAACTTCCAAAGTTGATAAATAACATTTCTCTTACTTTGTCTTCCATCTTGCATGGATTTTTTCCCATTGAGCCTGTCAATGCATTATCAAACTGCCTTCTTGTTTATTGCGGCAGTGGAAAATACAGCATTACGCTCAGACGAGGCATCCTGACCCCACAAATTCCTCACACTTAATGTTGCTATAAATAGAGACCATTTTGCATGCCTCGATAAGGCAGATGCCTTCTAGTGCTGTGGAAAATGGAAAACAGTTTGAGTAAACAGGACGTTAATATAGGTAAAAAAAAACAAAAAAACAATGCTTGTCTTGATTGTATTTTTTATCACAAATAATGTAGTATTAATATGTAATAAATAAGGTCATGATAATCTAATTTATAATAGAATAAATAATATTAAAAAATTCATAAAATAATAGATTTGACCTTTTAATTCTTCGCAGGTGGAGGTTCCAAAGTATCTTCGGTAACCAGGCTGTAAGTCTGAACAGGAAACCCATCTCCAGAGCATCATCTGCAAAAACATCTGTAAATACAGATACTGTGTGCTTTTCTCAGAATCACACCAACCTTCAGAAACATTCTGGTCAATGCAGGTGTTTGGTGAGTTTGCATTAAATGTTCCAAGACAGTGGCACAACAGTCAAATTCTGTAAATGTCCACTTGATCACAACAGGGCCTTGTTTAATTTAAAACAACAGGGTTTTCCGTTTTGACGATTGACCTGGATATTTGCACTGTATTCATTTTTTTATTGTTATTACTATTAGTAATAGTGGTAGTTTCTGCTGTTGTTGTGATTGTACTTTCATGTTTTTAAATGAAAAATCTACTTTGCCTTGTTAATGATTTTTAACACTACTTCATGTCTGTATAAATGTAAATATTTGACGATTTAAAATGATTAAATGTCACTAATTCAATAATCGGTTGAAATAATGAGCGCACCATTATTTATGTCATACAGTATGTGTAATACTACTTACCAAAACAGTTGCAAAGGTCAGAAGACTAGCGTGGGCTAAAATGACTTTGCTGGAACGGGAGAGTAATAGTTGTATGAATATCAGTCTCTTAATCCGGACCCTGTTTTGTATATTTTGGAAATGTTCCCTGGGACTAAATCCACTCCGCAGCTGTTCACCATGAACAGAGAAATGTTTTTAGTAGCAGCGGAAGGAACAGCAGCGAAGTTTGTGTTCAGGCAAAGAGTGTATCTGAAAGGCAAATACTTTTTCCAAAGAAGAGGGTTATATGAACATTTATCAACTTCTAACATTTTTTCCATGTATATCAATGCATGCAATAGATTTTTAAAGGGGTCATATGATGCTATTTTAAAGATCATTATTTTGTGTATTTGGTGTAACAGAATATGTTGACATGCTTTAATGTTCAAAAAACAAAGAGAAAGGAAAACTTGAAATCGCATCATATGACCCCTTTAAAGCATGGATGCAATTTCTGAAGACATGAGGACACAAGGACAAAATGTAAGTTGTTAAACAGGTTATGAAGGAAGCACAGAAATGGAACTAAAACACCTCCTTAAAACATTTTGTTCCAATTCAGCATTATGCATTGCACTAACCTGAACTGATATTTACACATGCTAAATTCCTCACCAAAAAAAACAAACAAAAAAAACAACCCATGGCAATGATCCAGTCCGTTCTGAAACAATATCATTTCATATGGCAGTGAAATCATTCAGTTGATTTGCATGCTCAATGTCTGCCAAATAACTTTAGAGCTCTAAAAAAATAAGAACAAAACAAAATGTCAGATGCAATCAGATGCTCCGCTAAACCAAAGTAATACCATATCAGGCTGCAGGTTTTAAAAATAATCGTCTAGTATTAACTTCGCATCTAGCAAAATTTTATGACCAGTGGTTAAGTTCACTTGGCAAGGTTTCTGCAGGTTTTGTGAAGGGAAATTTAAGACTTTTAAAAACATTTTTACACCAGTAAAGAAAACTTAAGGAATAAATTAAATACAACTGAAGAAAATCCAAGGGAAAAAAAAAGAATTAATACAAATTAAGTATCTGCCAATAGGGCCAGAAATGACATTTTCAAATGGAAAAGTTTTTCTTTTCTTTTTCACCCAGTTGACAGATATTTGTTCTTGTTTTAAGCATAAACACTTAATTTTTTTTTTTGTACATTTCTCAGAAAACAAGACTTTATTTGAATCTCAAATACTTTTATCTTGATTTAAACGTTTAGATATTTGTACTTGAAAACAAGACAAAATACTGAGGAAGATTTTATATTTTTTTGCAGTGCATGCAACATTTTATGCCAAAACTTTATGAAATTAAGAATTTCTGCTCTGATTTAAGGCCTTAATTTGTGGAAGGGGTAATTAAGACTTTTTAAGACCCACAGAAACCCTGACTTTATTTATTCACTCAAGAAAATGTTATGAATCACCTACTTGGAAAACTGGATTGCAAGGTTTTAGTCAGCCTTACCACATGGTTTCTCCAAGTAAAACAAATAAAACAACCAAATGCACAAAGGTTCTGTAAATATTAACATTTATTTGAGTGTACAATTTGAATCATTCTTTTTCAACCTCATTTCAAAGGTTTCAAGTCTCAATGCAAAGCAACCCTGGTTGAACAAAGGATAAAAACTGGAAAACATATTTGAATTGCTCTATAACACTGTTAAAAACAGTGAAAGTATATGATCCGACCCACTGCGGATCATCAGGCGAGCCAGAGCCGCTCTTTTTGAATTAGTATAGCATCACAGTGCGTTATTAGTAAAACATTGAGAATGTACGAAATGGCACACATGAACATTAAATTTTGACATGAACCGTATGACCAACGGGGAAAAAAACAACAAAAAAACAAGTGCCCATGAAATTTGTTGTAATGCCAGTAAAATGCAAACTAGCATATGCAAATAGGTTATTTCTAATAACTAGTGTTTCTCACATCTAATGTTAAGGAGAGTCCTGACATAGTAGCTATAGCACACAATGTGTAAACATAACCGCCGTATTGCGCCGTTTCCCCACTTTTTTCTTTTTGATTCAGGCAAAAATAGAAAGCGACTCAAACTCGGAGCAAATTTACAAATTAGCAATGGGGCTAAATATGGTTTTTAAGAATGTAACAGCGCTAAACTATGTTCTGAATAAGAAAAGTTAAGAGAAAAGTATGAAAATAGTGTTCTTGCTTTGAGTCACCATATCAACATTTTAAGACTGTTTAAGACATTGTTCTTTAGAGTCGATGTTCATTTAAAGAATGACAAAGAAAAAAAACCAAAAGACCCAAAAACATTCAACTCTACAATTCAAGACAACTTGATGTAAAATTGCACGTGAATCCAGGAGAGGGAAATAAAACCTTTACATGAGATGCATGACAAACCTTTACAGATTAAATGAGGTATTGCACAGATTAATACAAAAAAAGCATGACGGCAACAAAAATGTACACAAATCGGTCGTCCATTTACATTACAATTTTATAAGATTTAGCATATCTAGAGCAATGTAGTGCCTTAATTCTTTTGGGCAGCCCTGGTCATCAGTCATCCCACTCATCTTCATCCTCAAAATCTTCTACGTCATCATCATCATCATCTTCATCTACAAAACCACGGATTGAATGTTAAGTTTTCTGCTTTTTAATCAAGTAAGACGTCTATTACAAGCCTAAATGACTGTAATTGTCATAAAGCTCAGGTCGGCACACACCTGAAGAGTGGATTGCTTTGCTCCTCTTCTGCATGACCTCCATCAGCGCCCCCACGATCCCAGATGAGGGGGCAGAAGTGGGCGGAGCCGAGTCTGTAGTGTCCGGTACCTGAAAATGTCACATGATCAGAATGGCTTTATTCACCTGCATGCCACGCAGTTCTCATGATGGACTGGGGTAAAAAACAATGACCAAAATCAAGAGTTATTTTCAGTATAGAACTATTGTACTAAGAGATGGTAATATTGCTACACAAAAATTAATTAAATTGAATAAGTAATGGAAATGCATGTCACTGTCTTGTCAATGAATAGAATTGCTAAAATAATAAAAATTTGAAAACATAAGGAAGAGAACATGCACTAATTTATTTATTTTTATTCATTTTATTTCACTATATTATATAACTTTCTTAGATCATTTCCACAATTCAGTTATTTCTAGTTACTAGACTAGTGTTCAAAAGTTTGGGGTCAGTAGATTATTTTAAAAAATGTCTCTTCTGTTCACCAAGGCTGCATTTGTTTGATTAAAAATACAGTAAAAATTGTAATATTGTGAAATATTATTACAATTTAAAATAACTTTTATTTTAAAAAATACTTTAAAATTCAGCGAATTCAGCTGAATTATCAGCATCATTACTCCAGTTTTCAGTCACATGATCTTTCAGAAATCTAATATGAGGATTTGCTGCTCAAGAAACATTTATTATTTCTTAAGAAATAATATTCTTATCAAAGTTTGAAGAGGTGAACACAAGTTGTGTTGCTTAATATTTTTGTGAAAACTGGGATAAAACAGCATTTATTCAAAATTAGAACCTTTTGTTAGAACCATTTATTTTGACCAAAATTAGACCATTTTTAGTCTTTACTGTCACTTTTGATCAATTTAATGCATAAAAGTAGTCATTAAAAAAAAAAAAAAAAAAAACCTTACTGACCCCAAACTTGTAAACAGTAGTGTTCATACATACATACATAAATAAAATATATGGACAACTGTGTCAGGAACCAGTTTGATTTAGGTATTTGTATTCATATGATATGATGATTATGCGTCACAAAAATATTTCCCCTCCCAAATATTTTGCAAACATTTTCCATCATTTCTCATTGGTTTAAAAGTAAAAGCACTGTACTTACGTTTTTAAGCTGAATGCCCTGTCGTATTTGGTCTAATAGTGCGCCACGGCCACCGCCACCGCCACCGCCACCGGACACGGGCGGCTTGTTGTTTTGGTCCACTTTCTTCAGCTGCGCCCCTTCTCGAATTTGGTTCAGGAGTGCAGATTTACCCCCCGGTGCCTCCCCTAAATCCCCGTCTGGTAGCGGAGGAGGTGCGGGAGGAGGGGGTCCCGGAGGAGGCGGCGGTGGTGGTGCTGAAGGTGGAGGGTTTCTGAAGTGCGCTGCAAACTGCTACAGCAAACAAAAGCAAGGTATTTGAATCTTTATCAGTAAGCTCATTGGCTACCGATTCAGGAGAGAACCAATCAGCAGCCATGTGACAATGATGTCGCCAGGTCAGATTGAGCTAGACCTATCGGACTGCGCCATCTAGAGTTTCATGCCAGAACTCTGTAAATATATATATTGTTTGCCGAGTAGAAAGTTAAAAACAACAGCATTTATTTGATTATTTAAAATAGAAACACTGTGAATTGAAATAGAAATATTGTGTAACATTATAAATGTCTTTACTGTCACTTTTGATCAATTTAATGCGTCCTTAATCAAAAATATGAATTTCTTAAAGAAAAAAAAAAGCTAAGAAAAGACTCCAAACTCTTATTTGTTTACTTGTATTAAAGTTACTTGTTTGTACTTGTGTTACAGTGATATATTTTTGCCATATTGCCCGCCCAAACAATGAATTAAATTATCCGATTAAACATCCGATATCCTTGTCTAACAACTCACTAATGCAAGCAATCACTTCAAAGTCAAACCCAACTTAGAGATAAGTTTCACTCCAGGGTTCTTGAATTCGTCACAAGATGGAGAAAGCAGCTGTAGCAGCTTCACGTAGGATGCATTGTGTTCATTCACAGCTGAACTTATTCCAGCAAACCAGTGCTAATACAAATACTGACTCTGAATAAGTTAAACTGGGAAAATCTCAGACATTAGAGATGTTCTTCCAACATCTGACCAGAGCTGGAGTGTTGATCTTGTAAATTGACTTCTGCAATAAAGTGGCTTATTTTTATTTATTTGTTTTTTAAATTCAGCCGGTCTTAAACAAATAGGGATCAGTGTGGATCTGAGAATTTGGAGGTCTAGTTTTGAAGTGTTTAAGGTTTTAACGCCAACTCTGGTTTGGACTTGAGGTGCTACAAATATGATCTATAAAGATACACACAACATCAGCCCACAGCAGACTTTTAGTACTGGATGCAAGGCTTCTGATTGGGCCACTGCAGTGCCCATTTAATAGGCACAAAACTGATCGTTTGTTCTTTTTATCACTGCAGACTCATGCAAAAGGGGGAAAGAAACCTACCACAATACCTCGGGGGTCCTGAAGGACAAATTATTTAAACATTACTTCATTATAGTACAACATAAGATAAGGTTTGCTTAGATAAGTTCTAATAATTTGAGCTTTCAAACACCCAATAATTGTACGCAAACTCTTGGACTCACCTTGTCGTCGTAGTTCATTTTTGACAGCCTCTACTCCTCCTCTCTTCTCAATGAATTCGTAGATGTCTTTAGACGTCTCTTTGTCTTTGAGCTGGGCCTCAGAAATGCCACACATGTCAAACAGGTTCTTTAGCTCTGGGTCCAAATTATTCAGCTGAGAAAAGACAAACCAAAGTCAACAAATGAGAGGACAGAATCTGAATACAAATTAAATAAAAATTAGAATTAACTTCTGCTGCTTGTGTCGCAGTATTCCTCATTTGTAATTTGCCATGCTTTTGTAGATCACTATATTATATTAACTATGGACATACAAAAGTTTGGGGTCATTTATCTAAAAGATTTTTTTTTTAGATAAATGAATACTTCTCTTCAAAAGGGATGCATTAAATTGATCGAAAGTGACAGTGAAGACATTTATAATGTTACATAAGAGTTCGATTTAAAATAAATGCTGTTCTTTTAAAAGGTTTACACAAAAATATGAAGCAGCACAACTGTTTTCAACATTAATAATAATAAAAAAAATGTTTCTTTAGCAGCAAATCAGCTTATCAGAATGATTTCTGAAGGATCATGTGACACTGAAGACTGCAGTAATGATGCAATGAAAATTCAACTTTGCATCACAGAAATAAATGACATTTTATGATATATTCTAATGGAAAGATGATATTTTAAATTGTAATAATATTACTCAATATTACTGTTTTTACTGTATTTTTATAAAATAAAATGCATCCTTGGTGAGCAGAAGAGACTTTTAAAAACATTTAAACTCTAAATGACCCAAACCTTTTGAGCAATAGTGTATTCCAGTGTATACCCAGAAATAACCAAATATATTTTTTAAATCACTGAAAATCGAATACATTTCTTTTTGCGCGAAAAATTTTCTTGTGCTAAATAAATGTCACTCAGTTTGCTCATTTATTATATAATGCAATGAGATTAAGACATCTTTTAAACATAACATTTAAGACTTTTGGTGGCCACAATATTTCAGAATATACTTAAACCACAGAAACAGATGAATGTGCCGCATAGCATTGGGCTTAATAATTCTTTCTTCTGATAATGAAAAATTGCTCCTGCAGACAGTCTACCAGAACAATCACACCGTAACCCCCAATAAATCCCCTTTATATAATCTTTCATTCAGGGGAGTTCAAATTAAAAACTGGAGCCACAGATCCAATACACACTCCCAGCGCAACTCCTGAAATTGATCCTTGATTTTTGGGAGAATGATTGTTTTGGATTATAAAGATACAGCCCCTCCAGTTACATTGTGTAAGAGATGACTTGTAATTGTGAATCATATCCTGATGTGACCTCTGAACCAGAAAATGACGAAAACATGTAAATAAATGTGCTTTAAGAGGACATGCATTAAATGTAAACATGCAGTGGCAAAAATACTCACATCAAAGCCTGTGTTGGGATCCCAGCCGACATGCCCTACGTGGCTGGAAAAACAAAAAGACATTTTAATAAAGAAATATGAACCAAATGGCTCAGAAACTGTAAATGCATTAAGCAAATAAAGATAAAACTGAGATTAAAGTACATCAATAAACATGTTCAGGTTTAAGGAAGTCTCATCTGACTTTAACATGATTCCTGGAATACCACGGCCAGATTATCCATGTCTGGGATACATTACATGAGATTAAAAACAAGTGTCCATCTGACTATACTTTGCATCACAACACACTAAGCGAACGTCCAGGAATCTAACAGGAACTATGATTTGATAAAGCAGCTTTAGTGTTCAGTGCACAAGGACGTGTATGCAGTACCTGGTCAAAAGCCAGCAATTCTAGAAAGGGAAACGTGAAACCAAGTTGGTCTGAACATAAAAGCGAACTCACCGGAAATTGCTTGGGGTGCCGATTTCAGATTTGGATATTTTCTTCTTCTTGCTCTTGCCTTTGCCTTTGTCTTTTTTGTTGAAGTTGCTGTGGAGGTTAAAGTTGTTAATTTGAGTGTTATTTTGATAACGCTGGTTGTTGATTTCAGGGTTCTTTATGTCCACCGTTGCCATTAGAAGTGTTGGTCCTGAAGGTCCTGATGGTCCTGAAACAGTCACAATCAAATTCATTTCATAAATTATGCATTAATTGATATGATAAAAAATTTGGAAGCTTGTTTCTGACATGGTATTAAAAAAAAAGTCTCAGTTGTAAAATTTTTCTTCAAATTTTGACTTATTCTCACAATTCTGAGCAATTCTGATTTTTCTTCCCCTCTGAAGTTTCTATCTCTTAATTCTTGCAATTTTGAGGAGAACATTTCAAATTGAGATATAACATGCAATTGCAAAGAAAAAAATCTCTGAATTCTGAGATGTAAACTCTGAATTCGCAAACAAAACCTCAGAATTGATGTAAACTCAATCTGTAGAATAAAAGTCACTTGCAAGATTTAAACTCAGAATTTCTAGAAAAAAAGTCAGAATTACAAGATGTAAACTCAAAATTTGGAGAAAAAAAAAGTCAATTGCAAGATTTAAACTCACAATTTGTAGAAAAAAATCAGAATTGCGAGATTTAAACTCTGAATTCGTAAAAAAACAAAACAAAAAAAACAACAGAATTATGAGACGTAAACTCAAAATTTGGAGAAAAAAATATTTAAAGAAAAACAGCAGAATTGGGAAATGTAAACTTAGAATTCAGAGAAAAAAGTAAGAATTGTAAGAATTAAAGTCTGAATTCTGAGTTTATATATTAGTGCAAATTGTGAGATAAAAATTTGCAATTGTTTTTAAATTGTTTTATTCCATGGCAGAAACAGGCTTCCATAATCAAGCACTTTTGAAATGAACACTAACTTTCTTAAATGCACTGAACACAAGAAACTGCATTAAGACTAAACCGGCCAATAAAGCACCTCTTCCAAACATTTCAAAGTCTTCAGAGAAACTTCACGAAGCATCTCAGGTCACAACCTACCTGCGTCCTCGCGCTCGACACTGTAAGCAGGCGAGAGTAAAAACGACGGGCTACAGCGTCCGCTAATGTCTCCACCCCCTAAACCCACGTTCAGGAGGATTTTACCCATCACCACACAGGTGCGCTCGCTGTGCCGCAGGTTAGCCGCGGGGTCTGAGAACGGACCGTACAGCTCGTCCTGCGGGAGTACGAGGCACTGCAGAGGAGCCAGGCAACCTCCCAAATCCGAAGCCCCATCAAGTATCTCATCAGTCGGCACGGACAAAAAGGTGGTGCAGAACATCATCTCTGAACACATGTGAATGCCCACGCCACAGGTCTGGTCAGGCTTTTCTCTGCCAGCATTTGAAGGCTGCAGCCAGCCATAAAGTCCCACCTCTTTTTAATCCCAGCAAATTATACACCACCACTGGATTTTACATAACCGTTAAAGCCAGCAATAAACTGCCGCAAATCTCCTGGGTTCTTCTAAGCACGGTGTGATAAGGACACGCTATAATTCAACACCAATGAGAAACCCTCCACGCAGACAGGGGGCGCTAATCACCTGAGCCGGATGACAGTACCAGGTGACTGTAAGTGGCACAAAATTATGAGAAGGAAAAACGCTGACCAACTAGTACATTCAGATAACCAGCAGAGAAAATCCTCTCAGATTAACTAAAGGTCTAATATTTATATTGTTGCTCATCCACAGACATCAAACGGATGTCAGGTGGTCACGTATACCTGAATCACCTACACAGTCACTCAATGATCCACTTTGATGGAAGTCGTGGCCTAATGGTTAGAGAGTCAGATTCGTAACCCAAAGGTAGCAGGTTCGAGTCTCGTACCGGCAGGGATTGTAGGTGGGGGGAGTGATGCAGAGCACTAATTCCGAGTATGGGTCACGAAATGGCCACATGTCACGTCACTTTTTTTCACCACCCAAAATAGTCTTGTTTTGTTTAAAAAGCAGACATTTGAAGTCAAAATATATTTATAAATAAAGTTATATGGCTGATTTGGTGAAACCTCATGTTACTTCAAAGCTTCAGCATTGCTCGTCTATAGGATGGAAGTGACTCGGGAGCCAGATTTTCCGGTATAGCTGGATTTTTGCCTTTGGGGTGGATGGTAAACCGGCGAAATGGACAGTTAACATGTTAGTTGGGTTGGTAGTTGACAGCCCCTTGGGGCCTTACAGTTAAAAGACCATCACCACTGTGAAGATCAAGTTTTGACAGCACATGAGGGGGATGGTGTGTATGTTTGGAAATTACATTTGCTACCTAATTGCTTATATGCATTTAAAACTATGTGGTGAATTGCAGGAAAACTGTCAAGACATGCCCTGGTCATATTTCAGCCCATAGTAAAAAAAAAAAAAAAAAGAAGGGAGGGGCGGGGAGGGGAATAAAAAAATGATATATATATATATATATATATATATATATATATTGTATTGTGGCACTATGTTATAATAAATTTACATTTGACAGTGAATAAAATACATTTTAGTTTTATCACATTTAAATGTAATTTTATATGTAATTTAATAAATGTAATAAATGACATATGTAAATATAAAATGTAGCTATACGGAATGGCAGAATTTTATTCAATTTAATTTTATAGTAATGAGAATTTTTTGGGCCAAACTGTGAATACAAAACTTTAATGACCTTACAAATAGGCTTTTTTCCCCTAGCAAAATATAATTTCCAATTTTGTTTCTTTTTGATTTTGCAAAATGTAACCTGGACATTTCTTTTGCAATCTGATTATTCAACATTTGTTCTGTATCAATAAACACATATCTTCAAATCATGTGGAGACATAAATACATTTTAACTGAAACTTTGTCAGTCATGTTTAAAGTTTAGTGTAGAAAGAATTAACATTTGTGTAATTCATTAGTAAACAACCTACCATTAGGTGGGTCACGTCTTTTTTCTGCAAGACAAAATAAAGATAACCATTACTACTAAATTCACCACTGCGCAATATAAAATGTGAGGTTTATTAGTGAAAGAGTAAGAAGGTGAGATCAGTCTAGTGCTGTAGGAAAGATCAGAGAAGTTGTTTGTTTATTATTAGTCGGAAATAGGGCTGGACGATATGGCCAAAATTGATATCACAATATATTTCTTAATTTCGGTCGATACGATATAATTCCGATATCGATATGACCACTATTTATCTGAAATAAAAATCTTTTGTAACATTATAAATGCCATTAATAAAATAAAATAGATTATATTCAATAATTTTGAGAAAAATTGTGCAGAATTGTGAGATACAGGCTCAGAACTGCAAGAAATAAAAGTCGGTTGTTAAATAAAAAGTAGCAATTTTTTTTTATGTAATAAAATAAGATAGAAAATAAAAAAGGTAATTACGACTTTTTATCTCGCAACTGTCTTTTTTTCTCAGCATTGCGAGAAAAGTCTGAATTGTCTGATGTTAAAGGTGGGGTAAGCGATTTTTCAAAAACGCTTTAGAAAACTGATTCGGGCCGAATAGCATAACGGCACAAATAAATCAATGTATGGGAAACTGGTAATGTATATCGAAATATCGGAAATGTGTTTAAAAATCATATCACCGTTACTGAAATTTTTTTTATCGCGATACATATTGATATTGAATTATTGTCCAGCCCTAGTCGGAAATGTACGGGAAAAGACTCAAATGTACAATCCTCTCCTTGTCCTGGGATAAGTTGCCGAGTCAGCCGACACAAAGAGAGGAAGTGGTTAAAGAGCAGAGTTAATCAGAAGCAGACCTACACAATCAAACCCAGAGACATCAAAGAGCACGACATGGCACAAACAGACCGAAGAAACTGTTTGAGGAAGAAAATCCTGGGAGAGTGGGATGTTAAAGAAAGAGTGACAGAAGAAGATAAAGAGGGAACGACTGAATCATGTCAGAAGAAAACCAGATGATGTTTTTCCAGCAGAATACATAGAGACACAGCTCTGTTATGAAGTGAAGGACAGAAACAAGCTGATATGCTGTTGTATTTACCGGTTTTCCTCCCTTTTCTATTCAGAGATTCATCGGCAGCAGACTTGAATCGCCTGGCTTCCTCCTCACTGGCAAAATTGAGACCAATCTGGCACGTCTGAGGACAAACACACATTAAAGATGCTTTATATACACTCCAGACAGACAATAAGTCATAAATCAAAACATAGATGATTCAGAAGAGTTATTCAAACAGGAAAAAGCCTTGCACTGATGAACTTGAATCTTTAAAAATGAACACAAAATGGCATTTGCAACTACTTTTTTAATGCATCACATTTTAGAGTAAAACAATATTGAATGAGAATTTTTTTCTACATTTACATTCTACAAAAGATTATGAAGACAAACTTTTTCGAGGATAAAGTGCATGGATGAATCATGCATTATAAGACCAAAGCAAATGAATTCAATTTCATGTTTATGTTGATTTTAACTCTAACTTTATCAGTCTGTGTCCATGATGGCACATAAGCACAAGCACTTAATGATTATGATGGCACATAAACACAAAGGGCATGTAGGCACAAGATCTGAATACTTACATCTCCAGCAAATGTGATAAAGTATGGCCTGGAGCAGTTTACTGAAAAGTTGTTGTAGAGCTCTTGATCAAACAATTGTCTTCTGTCCTGTCAAAGCAGAAAAAGAAACGGTTTACTTAACACTAAGAGAAACATGACTTCCATGTTTCCATGATTGTATTTATATAGTATTTAATTTATTCATAGAATGAATAAAATAGTATAAAAATAAAATAAATGAAAATAAATCATAAAGAATATATTTTATTTATATATTATTTAATTTATTCATAAAATAAAATAAACAATTTTAAATGTGCATGTGTCCATGATATATTAAAGTTATTCATAAAATAAATAAAATTATTTTACCTATAACCAAATATAGTTTATTTATATTATTTATTAATTTTATGAACAAATTAAACAATATATGAATAACATATAAATGAATGTAAGTAATAAACAAGTTTTAATGTTAAAGAATATATTTTATTTATATAATATAATGTATATAAGATAATATACAAAAAATACACTGGAATATAAATAGAACTATATAAATAATAAACATTTTAATACTAAAGGATATATTTTATTTATATTTGTAACAAAATAAAGAACATAAAATATATTTGAATATAAATAAAATAATACATAAATAAAATATACATGAATATAACGGATATATTTTTTAATAAAAGTTCATACTATTGTGCTAAACAATATGTTTGGCTCCAAATGAAAACAACCAAGCTCAATGAAAAGTGCGCAGATGTATCAAAAAAAGCATCTGAGTGTCTGTTGACTTACTTTCATATCAAACACCCTGATAAAGTAAGATCTCTGAGAGTTGTCTTTCACCAGACAGGCCACCCCACAGCACTTCTTCACCCAGGACGAGTTTCTGTCTGCTCCATAGACCTGCACCACTGCTGAACACAAACTCTACACAAACAGAAAAGAAACGGCAGAATTAAAACAAATCTGTCAATCAAATTCCATTCTGCAGCTGCTTATGTAGGTCACATTAACCTACTGTGAAAACAGATGCTTAGGTATGATTTCAGAATGATTTTCAAAAAACAAAACAAAAAAAAAAACACCATTTAAAGAGTCATGATGCATGTCTAAAAACAAACATTGGTAATCTTTGCTTTATTAGTGCATGTGCTGTAAAGTGGTCAATTTTAAAGAAACTGTGGCATTCAACAGCTCTGGACATACGGCGGTCACTCTGTAGCGGACATTATCATAGTGCAGTGTCATTCACAGCGCAAACACCTCAGGACGGATGCGAGCGAGGACGACAGCGCTGCGCCTTTGACAGTCTCCTCACGAAGCTGCCGGTCACAACGCCAGTGAATGAGACGCTCTCTCAGACTAATCAAGAGGAGCAAGCCGCATTGTGCACATTATGACCACAGTCGAACCTCTTGGTGAAAAGCACAGCTATATAATCATAGATAATTTTTTATATTACACAGAATGAGAGAATTAAATCCAGCATGCATATGTAATACAAAAAGGACCAAATTCTACAAAGTCTACAAGCAGGGGCACCACTATGGTTTTCCCATTAAAAAATGCGTCCCGGGCCCCCTCTCCCTCGCTGGGCCCTTGGAATCGTCCTAACCTTCCCCTCCGTTACGGCGCCCCTGTCTACAAGATATTTAGTACTAATATAGGGGCGTGTTTGTTTTGGTGATTTCAAATGTCAACATTGGCTACCAGAAATCGCTTACCCCACCTTTAAGTAACTGCAGCTTTCACTATTCAGACTTCTCAGAATTCTGAGTTTATATCTCACAATTCTGAGAAAAAGAGTCACAATTGGGAGATATAAACTCAGAATTGTGAGAAAAATTGTGTGACAAAGAGTTACGTTTTATTTTTTATTAAATAAAAAGAATAAAATAAAAATTGTGAGACAAAGAGTTGCATTTTATTTTTTATTGAATAAAAGTAATAAAAAAAATTAAAGGTAATTGCTTTCACAATTGTGACTTTTATTCTCAGAATTGTGAGAATTGTGAAAAACTTAGAATTACGAAAAATAAGTCGCAATGATCTTTTTCTCTTTTTTTTTTCGTGTCTGAAATAAGCTTCCACAGAATGCCCCCATTTTTGCAGTTTAGCTTTAATAAAAAGGTCTGGACAGACACTAAAAAGCGTAAAGTCAAAATCCTACTTTACACAATATGTCGCCTTTTAGGAAAAACAAGGATACACCCGAGTTGAAACAACGCATGCATCTAATTAAACGGCTGAGTTTACAAATCAACCGTCTGACCCAAGATGAACCAGCTGCGAGGAATCAGAACAAAAGAGCCAGTCAATATTGAGCGAAAAGCCACAAAGGACCGTTAAAGTGACGTGATGTAATCGCAAACTTTTAAGTGAATAGCTGCAATATGCACGAAGACATCCTCGGCAAACAGCCACTTTTGGGAATTAACGATCAGCATCCATTCTCAGGATGCAGGGCCAGATGATTTACTTAAGCGGAGAGCGGACCAGCAAAGCCAGACGGCCCTGCCAGGATCCCGGTCAGGAATGCAGCCACGCCACACGTCTGAACAACCCGCTGAAGTGCAGGCCTGCGAGTTACAGACACACTCAAAGCTTCCATTAACAACAAGATCAAAGCCAGAGGAGCAGGATCACACACACAGCGAGAGGGGCTTCTGCGCTCTCATTGGCTGAATGAAGCTGCCGTCTATTATCAGTTCATTTAAGTCATTACTCAAAGTCAGGCGCATCCATCCGAACCAGAGTGTGTGCGACGTTAACTTGCAGCTTATCGCTCATTATTAGCTGCAGCTAGCGGAAATTCGCCTTCTGGACGAAATCTGGTGACGTAATGTACAAGTACTCATGCATGCACTCTGATGACATCAAAGAAAAGAGGCACTGTTTGCTGCGAATGCTGCTATTTTTTGAAAGAAATAACTACTTTTATTCAGCAAGGAGGTTTTAAATTGATCAAAAGTGACATTAAGGAGATTTAAAATGTTACAAAAGATTTCTACTTCCAATAAATGCTGTTCTTTTGAACTTTCTTTTCATGAAAGAATCTTGATAAAAAAATGGATCAGTTTCCACAAAAATATCAAGGAACATTAATAACATTATTAATAAGAAGAAATGTATCTTGAGCAGCAAATCAGCATATTAGAATGATTTCTGAAGGAACATGCAACAAGTAATGATGCTGAAAATTCAGCTTTGCATCACAGGAATAAATTACATTTTATAATACATTAAAACAGAAAAAAGTTAATTTAGTTTGTAATACTTTTTCACAATATTACTGTTTTTATTTTATTTTTAATCAAATAAATGCAGCCTTGGTGAGCAGAAGAGTTTCAAACACATTCATATCAAATTGAAAAATAATATATAAAACAAATGAAAAATTTAAAAAAAAAATATTTTAATTAATTATTAAACAGATTTTAAATAACATTTTAAAATACAATTATATAACTACATAATTATACATAAATCCTACATCAACTCCATAAATCACTACATAATTCCCACACATAAATTTGTATTGCTTTACATGTTACTATAACTCTGAAATGCAAAAAAAAAAAAAAGTTTGATTAGTAGTACTACAACAATTAATAAATAATAAACTGTAACTGACTAAACAGATAAATTCATTCTAAATAAATAAATAAATAGATTTTTATATAGCTGTCATTATACTTTAGGAAGGGGTTAATTATTTTTGCAACAAAAAACCCTGATCTAAATTTTTTTTTTTTTAAGACTTATTTTTGGAATTTTCACCTTTATTATGATAGGACAGATCAGAGCTGACAGGAAGCGAAGTGGGAGAGACATACCCTGATCTAAAATTACTCAAACTCAACAGCCCAAGGCCAAATAAATAATTAAATAAGTGCTAAAAAAATGAAGTAAACAGCAAAAAACTAAATATTACTTTGTAAATAGCACTATAAGTCAACTTCATGGGGAGAATTTTACAATTCTACAAACATATAAAATCATTATTTCGTCCATCAGCCCTCACTCTTATGATTCAGCACTGGACATCTGAAAACTCGCACAGTTGACCACGGCGAGGATAATATTAAGGGTCAAAGCTGAAGAATCTATGACCTTGCTATTATCAAACTCTATGCATTACACACTCAAGAAAGGGCTTTCTGGAGATTTGTAGCTTTCCTCACAGTTCAAACAACCAAAAATGACAGAAACTCGGCCAGCAGGAACTACCTGAGAGGATGGACTGGTTCTCCAACCCCCACATTCACATGCAGGAGAACCATACTGCCAGCAACAGCAGAAAATCACAGAGGCCCACCGGACCACATCCTCACGGTGGGCTGACCGAGCAATCCTGTTTAAAACTAACGCTGTGTTTCCAGTCGGTGTGTGTGAACTCCATGCAGCTAAAGCTCCCTAACTAGCAAACCCACTGGCAGGATACTAACAAGAAAAGGACAAGTTTCAAGTCACAAACTCATGGTTCTGTGATTCACAGCAGTTGAACTCAATCCTCAGAGAGATGTGGACAACACACCCACTTCTATCATGCCACAACACGCCGTTTGAATATAAAAAAAAAAGACTTACAAAATAAATAAACATATGACAAGCAGCGTCATCAATCAACGCCGCCAGGAATGTGCGGCATTCAAGGACTCGTGTCATGCAAGAGAAACTATGAATTTTGGGCGACAAGTCCGGCAACTCAAACCCGATTCCTGTTTCGCACCGAGGAACGAGGCTCTTTGGAAACCAGCGTGCCCTCATGTGAAAAGGGAAGCTACCTGAAGAACACAACATTCATGTAGGAACAGGACAGGTAATGCAGTGGAATGAGGAAACAGAAAGACCACTACAAACGAACAGGTGAGTGAGAGCAGCACGAGATGATGGACTACACCTGGACTGAACATTACCCAGATAAAACCCCAGTCTAATTTGGGTATCAGCGTGTTACACAACAACAGCCCGAGGGAAATCTGATCACACTGATGATTAAACAAAACAATAAGGGAACGTGTCTGTAGTGCACTAAAAACTTGAGATCAAATGGTAACAATTACCTATCGCTGCATAATAATAAGGTGCAACTTATGATGAATAAGGGTCTTTAAGCATAAAAATATATATAGTTTAATATAACATACTTTGTTATACATTATGTGTCCTCTTTATTTTTATTTGCATTATTTGTATTCATTCATTATTATTTTGAATAATTTAAAATACAATAAAATGTATTATGTTACAATTTTACTTCTTTTTTTTACTTATATTTTAATAACTTGTTTCATTTTTATATTTTTTCCCCATTTATTTATTTATGCTTTATTTTTACATAAATAGGTTCAGCTGAATGACATTATTTTACACATTTTCACATTTTATTTTCACAAAAGTTATTTGAAACATGACAGTAGACACTTTACTTGCATTTAATATGCTTTTATGTATATAAAATCACTTTTGTAAATTTAATTTGATGAAGACACCAAAATGGGACATCTCATCTTTGACCCATAAACATATAAATCATCAGGGCTGATTATTTTGCCTAGTGTAATATAGTTCTTTTGAGATTGTCGGTCAACTGATGTTACCAAGATGGACATTTTGCCTAGAGTTAGTTCTAAAACGTACTAATATTATACAGTAAATATTGTGTAAGATTAGAGAAATGTGCATAAAATTGCACTATATATAAAAGCCATATCAGCCAATGTTCAATGTCTTTTCCATTTGCTCCTCCCAATCTTGAATATTTGGTTACATTCCTGACAGTTTAACCAGACACACCAATGACAACAGTTTCCTCATAAGAATCTTAGTTATGAAAACCTGGTATATTATCATTGCACACATAGCGTAGGCTTGGAAATGTAAAGTTTGTAAAATCCGAAACATCCGAAGAGTTTTGAGGTGCTGTCAGGTCATAAACGCAGGTCAATAAATCAAGCTGTGAGAGGAACTTAAAGGCATGTGACAATATGATTAAAACTCCTAAACAAGTTCACCTACCACGATTATCTTTCATTAAATAAGATGAACTATTGATGCAAAGGCACACGACTCATTTATATGGTCTGGAACGTAAAAATGTATAGCTGTCATTATATTTTAGGACGGAGGTCATCATATTTGCTTCGAAAAGTGTCTCTCACACAAGCTCACCTGAAAATTTGAAAGCATTCTTGATAAACAAACACCAAAAACATTGTCAGACAGATGCGCGTGTTTGTCAACTGGATACAGTGTATGTCTATATTCTGTTAATGGATTATCCAAGTGTCACATTCCAGTGGAATCATTAGTAACACTGCATCGAGTCGATAACATCCCACAGCATGATTGAACACTACCTGGCAAAGAAATCAAGCAAATGCTTGAGAACTTACGGTGCATTTCCTGCCCAGGTGGTTGAAGAGCACTTCGTTTTCTTGATGGGTGAGAAGAATGGAGCCAGCATTGCTCGCAGGCCTCCTGTTTGAAGGTGGACCGCTCATTTTTGACAATCCGATGGTGTGAACTTGTGATCAGGAAGTGTTAAACAGAAAATATGTGTTCATTGATCTCTGATCACCGCAGCTCGGATCCGGAGACTCTCATAATCAGACCTGTGTGTTTCGGTCGGTGGTGGGTTGAGAGAGGTCTTGAGTCCCAGAAATAAAACGCGATCCTCGTTTGGTTATCCAATGTCGTCTTGAGACACTAAACTTTCATCTGAACTCCTGTGCACCGAGCTTTCGATCCAACATGGCAGTACCACCGTTGCGCATGACAGTGAGACGCGGCGAATTTACAAATCCTACTACGGCGAAAGCGTAGCTTATGAATATTAATGACCCGCCGTGGCGTACGATAAGTAGCCGAAGCTGATTGGCTCAGGGCGGGCTATGTTAGCGAGCGTTAGTCGTTTGGCGAATCAGAGAGTCGCGGGGCGTGGCTTATGAATATTGAATGAGTTACCAGGCAACGTTAGCATGAGCTAAGAAATAACTATGAGCTAAGCCTTCGCTATAGTAGGATACAGGTCGCGTTTAGTTTACTCATAACGTAAAAAAAGTATTTTAAAATGGATTATTAGACAGCTGTAGCCTTATAAATCGCAATCAGGGAATATTTGAGAATGATAAAGCAGTTTCACAAAGGAATGCAGTGTGGGCGGAGTCATTTTGAGTGATTTTTTTAATTGTAAATAATTTTATAAATATTTTTAGCACTACAATAATAAGCCTTGACGCAAGCCTTCCTATACAAATAACAACAGTGCAGGAGGAAAAAATTAATAAAAGAAGAGGAAATAACCCATAACAATAAAGCCAAGCTTAATCAGAGGCCAGTTTGCACATGAAGTCCAAGCCAACAAAATGAACAATTAAAATAACAATTGTTCCTAATTAAAAAATAGCACTTGAACTTCTTTTTGGCCCTTGGACTCTTTAACACTGTCGGCCTGTTTATTGGTGTAATCAGCAGTGCAGTACGTATGCCAAAATACAACAAAAGGTGGATATGTCTTCTGATTTGGGCCATATTAAACATTTAAAACAATAATGAAGCTGCATGCAAATTGACATGTTAATAAGCCATATGCACTGAGTCTGTGCTTTCAGCTTAAGTAATATGTTGACGTCAGCAGGTTGTATGATGAGTGAATTCAGTAATATACAGAAAGTCCTCAGCTATGTGGATTGTGAATGTTTGTGTGTAAGGGCTGATGTGGTGAAATATTTGCTGCTGACAACACTTCCCAGTATTTCCAGTCCCGGCTTAAAGTTAGTCACTCCCAAACAAGGTTGAGCTGTGAGGTAAATAGACAGAAACCTGAAAAACCAGTTAGACGAGAGAGAGAGAGAGAGAGAGAGAGAGAGAGAGAGAGAGAGAGAGAGAGAGAGAGACAGTGGGTCAGTATTAGACAAAACTGAACATGACAAAAGAAAGGAATGAAAACACATATTCATAAAAACAGAAAAAAGAATGACAGAGGAATTTAGCTGCTTCTAAATAAGCTTCAATTTTGAAAAAAAAAAAAAAAATCATTTCCTTATTCATCTTTTTAAAATTCTTTTTGAAATTTTGGTCATCTTTAAAACTTGAGTTTTGTATGTTTGATTAGGGACTAAGCAACAAAGGTGCATAAGCACCTATTCCATCACTTTTAATAGTCATTTAGCTATTATTATTATTATATTTTTTTCTGAGTTTGTAGCAGCCCCTAGAACCATATGGTAAAATTATGATATTTGGCCTACAAAAAAAACCCTACAGTGACACCAGCAGGTCTAATTGATGACAGCACCACCTTCTGGTCAAAATAATACATCTACTCATAACCTCATATTCTGACCAAACAAATCTACTCAGCCTTGAATAACTTGAATTTACTATTGTATACTAAATGTGGTATAAATAAATACAGTTTGAATAAAAAAGAACCAAAGAAACTCCAAAGTCATCTAATACACAGCCAGTGAGTCATGTTTTCATTGAAAGCGAGGGAATCAAACTGCTTGCGATTACCATTTACTGTAAACACACCTAAGACATTGACATTTGTCACACAGAGGATGATAAGAACTCCTTATCAGAAATCATATAAGTGTTGCATGTATCCATAGTTCTCTTAACCTTTCACACATATCTTCTCACTTTTTAATACAGGTTTCCCATGCAACCTTCCGCTTTACTATTTTTGTCTCTTTACTATTTTTTTTATGTTTCCTCGTGCTATTTGAGGACTGATTGTAGGCGAGCATAATATTTGCTCTATAGTGTTACGCTGACAACCGACGGACTTGGCCACAGAAAGCTGACTGTGCTCATCTGAATTACTGCAGTATTAGATTATGCTTATGAAGACCAGCTGTTAGCTACCGTCCAGCGCATGCACACATCAAGCACACAGATGGATAGTGTTTATGCTGCTTTTAAGTGGCAATTTTATTTTGTGAGCTGCAATAATTGCTACTATAACCTGAAAATTAAACCTGCAAAGAAACAGACATGTAAGTCATAATTATGAGATACAAAAAAAAATAACTTTGGACAATTTCAACTTTTTAGATCATAATTCTAGCTTTTTATCTTATAATTTGATGTAGTATGTCATAATTATGACATTTTTTCAATTAAAAGTCATTATGACTTTTTATCTCATAATTTGGACTTTTGTCATAATTTCATTTTTTTTCTCATAATTGACTTATGAGACTTCAGTCACTGTTTTTACTCCTGAAGTGGACGTCTTTGTCGCTATTATTATTAGTTTAAACATTAACAGTCTTTACTATTAGGACATGGTTGCAAAATATGCTTGAAAGAGCACTGGGAATTTACACTGATGTCAAAATATGCATTGCACATGCAGTGTTGTATTATCTAGTATGAATCACAGAAGAAGAAATGTAGTGCAATACTGTTTATCCAAACCCACCAGACTCATTAACATAACTATAAAACGGGAGTATATTGTGTTGACATTGAGCTCAAAATCCCACATCAGTCATGAAATGAGCACGAAGACAGCATCAGTACTGCCTTCTCAGATTCAGCTGGAAAAGGTGAATAGCGGAGTAGCATGTTTTTTTCCTGCACAGCTCCTGGAAAGCAGCAGATCTCTGAGGGAATCTACTTGAGTTATGTAATGTTGTGTTGCTCTGGTTGGAGCTTCTACTGTAATTCGTAAAAAAGAGAGAGAGAGAGAGAGAGAGAGAGGGAGAGAGAGAGGGAGAGGGAGAGGGAGAGAGAAAGACAAAGTAATAAAAACAAGAGACTTTGTGTTTTTTTTCGAAAGGTGAAGACCCAGATGATGTAAGGCTGTGTTTCTAGACTGTTTGACAAAAGGAGAACATGCATGTGAATCAGAGAGCAGCTGTGTTGTGTGTTTGCCTGAACACACACACACACACACACACACACACACACACACAGCTGGTTTATAAGCATAAAACACAGGCCAGGAGGAAGTAACGCATCAAGAGAAATCCCAGCATGCCCACACAACAAAACTAATTGATTCTAACAAAGAAAAATTATAATAGCGAGAAAGATAGAGACCAGTGACATGGAAAGAAGAACATAGAAAGAAGTGAGTTTTTACATAAGTACATAAGTCACAAGAAAAGAAAAAAAAAAGCTTTGGTAAATCATAATTGTGACACAAGTCATAACTATGACATAGAAATCATAATTATGAGATAAAAAGTCATTATGACATAAAATTCAAAAGTATGAAGTCAGCATGTTTAACATTATAATTATGATATCTTTGTCAAATAATTGACATAAAAGTAAAAATGAGATAAAAATCATTACTATGGGATAAAAAGTCAAAATTATGAAGTCAACATGTTTAACATCATAATGATTTCTTTGTCAAATAATTTACATAAAAAGTCAAAATGATAAGATAAAAAAATCTAAATATTTAATAATTATATATTATTTAATATTATATATTATTTAATAATTATATATTAGTCATAATTATGATTTTCCTATGTCAAAATAATGATGTAAAGTCAAAATGATAGCATATTAAAAGTCAAAATTACAAGAAAAAAGTCATTATGACATAAGCCAAAATTATGCCATACAATAAGTCAACATTTTTAATGTTCTAATTATGACTTTTTTGTTAATTGACATACAAAAATTTAAATTATCATATAAAAATTCAAACATTTTACTGTCATAATTATAACTTTCTTATGTCTAAATAATTGACCAAGTTAAAATGATGATATATAATGTCATAATTATGAGATAAAAACCATCATTATGACATAAAAAGTTGAAATTGAAAATAAAAAGCCATTAAGCCATAATTATGAGATAAAAGTCAAATTTTTGACTAGTTGAACATTTTAGGTCATAATAATGACTTTATCTCATAATTTGACAGTATGTCATAATCAATATTTTGTGTCAATTTCTACTTATGTTATAATTATGACTTTATCTTATAATTGACATTGTTTCCTTATGTGGCAGAAATGGGCTTCCATATGAAAACATGAAATGTGATGGCGGGAAACCTTTTGGGAGAATCATCTTATATGAGGCTTAAGAACTTCATTAAGCTTCATGAGCTATAGAGCAGCATCTGAACAATGAAATGTGATTCTGCCATTCAGACCTGGCCAAACATCAGCACTAAAGCAGACTGTCCTCTCAGTAAGGATGTCTAGCATCCTATTTCAGAAGCTGAAGCAAAGCAGGGTGCGGTGCACATGACTTTAACACCGCCAGTGTAAACTGATGTCACATCCTAAAAATCAGCATAGTGTAAACTGTATCCTGCACAGCTGACAGCATCAGCACTGGCTAAATATTGACCTAAAGATGTCAGCACTGCACGGCAAGCAAATGTATTTCCTCAGTATTTGTTTGACCTTGTTTCTCGCTTTAGCAGCAAAAACACACCAGGCTGTATTTTCTTCATGTCCTCTGGGTGGCAGTGGACACCTTATTATTTGGCAAATGGGAACACCAAAGCACTAACAACATAATATCCAACAGCAACAAGTTCGTAAAAAATGCTTACGAAAAATGTGTGATGTTGAGGTGTATTATGGAACAACGTCTGTGCTGCCTGAATTTTAATGTTTAGGGTTGGTGTTTTGAAATGAGCAATAGAAAACATGTCTAGAAAGTGTCATTTCCTCTGTTTTGCATACTACACAAATACACCCAAATATATAAGGTGTGGCGCCCTCTTACGGTAAATATGAATTGTTAGACACATTGCGTAATGTAAGTTAGCACACCCCATAGTGACCTCTGCAAGAGAAGGCTTGTTTATGAGACTTTTTGTCAAGTT